CTGTCGTTTGTTTTCCTCGTAGCTGTCAAACTCAGCTCTAGCGCCTGGATGCGCCGTTCATGGTCAGAACCTTGTTCCTCTGCAACGACCAGCCTTTCAGTCAGCGCCAGTTGTGTGTTCATCAGAGTTTCAATCTAGGAGGTCGAATCGCTTATTCATTGATTCGAGAATCTTTTCAGATAACTTACCCCACACAGGCGGCGAGTCTGGCTCCGCGTCGGGCCCATGCTCCACAGCTGATTCAAATTGTTTGGTGATCTTTGTTTGGCCCATACCAGGCATTTTGCCGCTTACCAAGTTAACTTTCCTTCACCAAGCACCAACCAAAACGATCAAGGTTTAAAGCTCCGCTACTTTTCTTGGCCAGTCGTAAATTAGACGGCGAGATTAATGAAAAAACGATATTATTCCACCCGGAGCACTGAGAGACCTGTCTAGCCCTTACTAGCTCCGCCCCATCCTGGTCATTTGCTTCTTGTTGTTGAGAATATAATTTTTGAAAGAATGACCTCAGACACTGCTGGATTATTTCCTGTTCAAAGACTATCTCATTTGTCTCAGGGTTCCTACTTTTGTACAGTGCACTATCAGCCTGTTTTTTCTTTAATTTATAAGCTAACAATTTGGATGCTTTGCCACCTACTGCCCAGTATTTTTGTTTCAGAAAAAACAGTTTCTTTTGTATTTCTTGTGTATATATTTCATCAATGTCCTTTCTGATTTTTTTTACTTTTTGTTCCATCTCCAGATCCATATTCTCTTGATGTTCTCTTTGTAATTGCTTCAGTTGTGACTGCAAATTATTTAACTTTTCTTGTCTTAATTTTTTTCAAGTAAGCTGAGCGTGCAATGATTTTTCCCCTCATAAACGCTTTCAGTGCATCCCAAAGTAAGGGCAGCTCCACCTCCCCGGTATCGTTTAGTTCCAGAAATTGTCCTGCATAAAGGATCTCATTTTCCAGCTAAGCTTGTTTGGTCTACCACTTGGTCTTGTAGAGTCAAGTTTCTCGTTAAGTTTTATATTAAAATCACTGCCACATATAACAGTTCCTTCTGCCTCTGTGGTCATGAGACTAAGTATTTGCGTATAAACAGCCCACTCACTATTTGGAGGTACATAAACGTTTAAAAAAGTTATCAAATTTCCCTCTAGCCTGCCTTTGATCAGCACATATCTCCCCTCCTTATCTATTTTCTCAAGTGTATGTTCATAAGTGTAGGGTTTTGTAAGTGGGTGGAAAATAAGATGTACTTATTTTCACACCAAAGCAAATGATTGCATGAATTAAAATTATTAATACCAACCTTTAAATCAATCGTCCACCGATATAATTTCAGAGTCAGCACAATAGTTCTAATAAATTGTTTACTCTTGGTGATCAGTCAAGAGTGTTTTGTAAAGTTAAGGGAATTAACTTAGAGCTTAGGTAACTAAAGATCAGATACGTAAAGTGACTGGATGTAAGCTATAGAAAACACAGAAAACAACTGTGTACGCACAAAACATTTATTGCTAACTAAACAAACAAACAAATAACAACAACAAACATAGAATATAAAATACAAACAATGATGAAAATGCTGGTTGAGAATATGAGTGTGAAAACCTAATGTGGAACAGAGTGATGGCTTGGAGACTTAAAAGTCTTTTCATCCGAAGCAGCAGATAATCTGTTAAATTTGGAATATTGGTTGAGAGGCCAATTGTAATTATGAAACACCCGTTTAGAGATGAAAGCTCAATACTTGCCACGTCCTTGGATTGGGATGCGAGTGCAGCAACGTCTGATGCCTGATGGAGAGACGAGGCCTTCAGCTTCAGAGCAGGAAGATCAGGGTGTGGCAGTCAAAGTTGAGGACATGGAAGACCAAGTGAGCAGCTCTACTGCAGTTAGAAAATGCCACTGCTTTTCAGGTGAAGAGGCTTTTTAATGGTAAAACTACTGACCAATCACAGCGAGCTCCGCTCCCAGGGGGGGCTGTTAGATATGACACCCCAGTATCACAGGGAGGTCATGAGGTGGTCAGAGTTTTGCTCTGAAAGTAAGAATGTTCCTTCAGAACTATATGTACTTTCAATTATACAAAGTTAAAACTACTGAAAATAAATCTATCATATCTTGCGGTTCACAAAGAATCCAAACGTGATACATCTAGCTCGTACGGTTACAAAGATAATGCAGTTTTGGGATATATGATTATATAACAAGCTGATAAATTAAAGAAGGACTTATCCAACTGTAATTAAGCTTTGGAGTATTTATCAGGACATGATATAACACAACATTTAACAACTAAACTTAACATAAGATAATAAGGCACATCCTGTGGTGCTGTCTTCACTGTTCATTCATAAGTTCAGTTCTTAAGTCCATTTGTTGCCTACCACAGGAAATGAGGGGTCAGCAGGGCAATACGCTAAGCCCGGGGCACTTCATTACATCCTGGCCATCTGGACCATTAGTTAAGGTCTGAGTGGTGTTCCCCCCAAAAGTTTCTTTGTGTTAGATCCTTTGAAGCTCTGATAGGTGTGATAAGGGAATTCCTAAGGGAGGTCTGCTTCCTCCGGCTTCGACTCCTCCGAGTCTGCAGAGCTGATTTACATGGCCCTGTGACCTGCAGGACAGTTCTGTCTTTTTTTATGGCATGTGACTTGGGTGCTGGAAAGTTCAAATTAAGTTTTTTGAATCCTTTTGGGCATCTGTGTCTGTCCATATCCTACATAAGTAAGACAATTATTTATTAAAATTGCTAGCCCCCTTTTTTTTTTTTTACAAGATTTATGTGAGGACAAGTAGATGTGGCTGAAACCCTGTCTTCCCAATTTTACATGTTCTGACTCCCTCAGGTGTGTCTCCTGAAGGAAAGCAACATGTATTTTCTCCTTTTTCAGTTTGGATAATATCTTTCCCCTTTTTATTGGATTATGCACCCCGTTAACATTAAATGAAATTATTTTTATCCCTTGTGTATTTTGCATGCCCTATGCTGGAATTCTAGTTTTCCCTTTTTGTATGTGAGAGTATTTGACCATTCCACCACATGAACAAGTAACCTTACTGAACAACAGAATGAACAACAAAGAATTATTTTGGTTCTGTTTTGCATTTTAGTGGCTTCCAAACAACCAGTCTGAGCAAAGACTTTTTTAGAGCTGGGTGTAACTGGCTCTAAGGGAA